CTCTGCCCCATGGATGCTGTGTGCGCCACGGCCCCGAGGTCCATACGTGGGGCAGAGCTGCCATCCTTGGGAGCCTTCATCCTCCTCCTCCTCCTCCTCCTGCTGTGGGGATGTGCTGGGAGGAGCAGCCAGGAGGGCGCACGATCTCCGCCCCCACACCTGAAGTGGTTTCTGTCGCCCTCTGCTCCCATGTCACCCCTTGCTGTCCCCGCAGGGCTGTAATGTCATGGAAGACCAAGACCTTCGGGACATCGGGATCGGTGACCCCCAGCACCGTCGGAAGCTCCTGCAGGCGGCTCGCTCCCTCCCGAAGGTCAGCACCACCATCCCTTGACACAGGTTTTAGTGGCTGCTGTATCCCTTGGGGTCTCGCCCCCTCCGGGGCTGTTAACCCCTTTCTTGTGCTTTCACAGTTGAAACCCCTGGGCTGCGATGGGAACAGCCAGCCCTCGGTTCCCGCATGGCTCGACTCTCTGGGGCTGCAGGATTACATTCAGTCCTTCCTCTCGAGTGGCTACAGCTCGATTGACACTGTGAAAAACCTCTGGGAGCTTGAAATAGTCAACGTGAGTATTGCCACGGCAGTGGGAGCATTGCCTTGCCCTTGCCACGGCAGCCAGCTCCTGCCCGCCTTCCCTCCGGGGCCGTGTCCCGTTAACCTGCTGTGTCAAATGGCACTGTGAGAGGGGATGCTTTGCTTGGTGCCGAGGGCAGGGGAGCCAGCAGTGACCGTGGTGTGTCCCGCAGGTGCTGAAGGTGAATCTGCTGGGCCATCGGAAGCGGATCATCGCCTCCCTGGCAGACAGACCCTACGAGGAGCCACCGGCCAAGCCGCCGCGCTTCTCGCAGCTGAGAGTGAGTCCCGGTTTGTGTTCCCTGCCCGGTGATGTCTGCGCAGGGCCTGCTTGGTCGGGTGCTTTCCGTTCTCCTTCGCTTTCCTCCCTTTCAAAGAACTAAACCTGGGTCTGTCAGGAATAATCATCCCCTTTCTGATTAGCAGCTCCCACCTCAGGGGGCTCAGCTCTGTAGATGGTTACTGAGAGCTCAGAGAGGGAGGCACACTCAGCCTTGCTCTGCTGCTTTCATGCGCAGGAAATTCTGCCTAAATCAATAAAACAGGGGGGGGAAAACACCCTTACGATGTCAATATTTTAGTTAAAACTCCTTTGAAAGTAAGTACAGAGAGTAACAAGCATAGAGAGTGAGCTTGGAAAACTGCACTGCTTTTTAAAATGAGGAAAGGGTAAACGTAAAGGGCTCGTTTCTTATTAAAACAAATCAATTTGACCTGGAAGTTTGGGTTCCTCCCGGTTCTCAGATGTTGGTGGTTTGGGAAGAAAGTTCTTGGAGCACGGAGGTGGCCGCACATCTGGGTGTGCGGAGGAGGGAGCGTTTTGTGTTCAGCGGTTCCCATGGACACACCTTGGCTGCTGCTGGGGATGAGGCAGCGCCCAGTGTTCCCACTCCGAGCGTGGCCAAGTTAAATCTGCCCCGAAATCCCAATTCATGGGCATTCACAGCCAGGCTGGCTGGGACTGGGCTGGAGCACTTGGGTGAAGTAAAAAGCAATAACAAACTTGACGTTGTGCTGTACAAATTCTGCGACGGCCGGGCCACGCAACAGCAAACAGCAGCATTTGTTTGGACATGGACAAGTTTCCTGACTCTCAACTTCCTTCTTTGTGGGTCAAACTCCATCTTCCCTGCGCTAAACAAGGCTGGAGTGTGTGAACACATCGGTGCTGGGAGAAGCCTTAACGTGGCCAGTTGTATCCGTCAGCTTTTCCCCTTGTCAGCCCCAGTGACCCAAGCAGCAAATCCTCACACAGGCATCACCCTGCCCCTGAAATGACTGGGAGAAGATAATATTCAGCCCTTGCAGCCGAATTCTGGACGCCTGCCCCATGGGAAACCTCAGGCAGCTCCTTCGGTACCTCCATGCAAGGTGGTGAGATGGTACCTCCATACCTTCCACCTCCACACCCTGCTCCGAGGGGGAATCCTGAGCCAAATTTCTCCCCCGTGTTCCCAGGGTGGATTTAAGGCGGCTTTCCCAGGGCAGGAGTGTGACACAGCTCAGCTGCTGCGGTGGGACGCAGCTGGGACCCGTGTTTTGGGATCTGTCTCCCTGGGTTGGCTGCATCCTCGGAGCTCCCGCAGCCAAACGGCACTCGATGTGATTTGTGGATGTTGGGTTTTTTGCTGCAGGAGCCTTTGGACGTCAGGTTTTTCGTTATCATGGTTGGCTGGGAAGGGAGCCTTCGTGTTTGCAGTTCTTCCTGAACACTGATATTTAAGAGCTGAGTTTGGCCAAACCCATGGGGTGTGCAGCAAAGCTGTGAGCGCAGGAGCAGGGTGTGCCATGGAGGGCGAGCATCATCGCGCTGCTTCCTCCCAGTGTTTGCAGATCGGTTTCCTGGAGCAGGAATTGGGAGCGATTGGAGATTCCCCATCCCAAACGTCTGGTCCTTGCCCTGCTGCAGAGCTCTTCTGCCCTGGATCCCCACGGCTTTTCAACCAAACGGGGCTGAGCTGAAGCCAGTTGGGCTGCTGCGCCCTGCTCCTCACACTGGGTGTTTTAGGAACTGGGGTTCGGGTGTAAAAATGAGAGGATCCACACTGGTGCTGCACCTGGTACCAACCCCACACCTTCACCCCGCTGCTCGACCGCCCCCTTTGCAGACAGCAAAAGCCCAGAGGGGTTTCAGCTGCACCGAAACATCCTCTCGAGACCGGTGAGGCTGAAGAGAGGGTTGTAGGAGAGGGAGAGGCGTCCTTTGGTGCAGCATCAACTGATTGATATGCTGGATGTGAGAGAATGGGCCATTTGCAGCACTTCCTGGTGCTCCAGCTGGTGCCATCCAGCGCCTGGCTCCGGCGCGGGGAGCGGAAGGACGTCAATGGCAAATTAAGCGAGCCCGTTGAATAGGACCTAATGCGTGTTGCAGCTGCGAGCTCCCCGCTTTGTCTGCCGGCCGCTTGGCACGTCCAGGCAGCAAACCCTGCCTGCAGGAAGAGCCAGGCTGTCAGGCATCTGGGCTGATCCCGCGCTGGGCGATCGGCAGCGGCTTTGAGGGCTTTGCTCAGTGCTGTGGTTGCTCTGTGGATGCCCTGCGTGCAGCTCAGCAGAGCTCACGGGAGGAGGATGCACCCATCCCGGAGCAAATCGGGGGTGTCCTGTGGATAATCAATGGGGTGATGGGTGGCACTGAGGCAGGAGCTGCTCCCGTTAACTCCACTCATTCCCACCCGTCGTGTCGGGCACTGTGAAGGGGAGCGAGGGGTGGGCACGGCCGTGGGACCCATTCACTGGCACCGATGGTGGCGTCTGCTCGTTTCAGTGCCAGGATTTGATGTCCCAGACGTCGTCGCCGCTGAGCCAGAACGACTCCTGCACGGGCAGGTCGGCCGATCTCCTGCTGCCCTCCGCAGACACCGCCAAGAGGCAGCACGACCGCAGCACCGAGGTTGCGCCCTACTCCAGAGCCGAGCGCTACAAAGCACAGGTCAGCGGGTGCTGTGGTGGGTCCTGGGGTCCCTCAGCTCTGTGGAGCCAGCAACGAGTCAGGGCAATGCATAGAGAGCCTGAGAGCTGCAGGCACAGCTTCCCTCAAGCATCAGAGCCAGCAGCTCCTTTATGTCTCACCTTAAAAATGGGTGACCGGTGCCTCCGTCAGCCCTGGCACCTTCACCTGCAGCTGTCTCCTCCCAGCCCCTGAGGGGTTTGGCCACTGCGACCCTCAGTTGCTTCAACCTTTAGGTTTAGGGCTTTTTAAAGCCCTCCTGGGATCTGGATTTCAACCCAGACTGGGTCCGTTGTGGCTTCACACCCCTGTTTGTCCCCTTCCAGGAGGACCGTCGGGAGTCCAAGCTGACCCTGCGCCCCCCCAGCCTGGCTGCCCCGTACGCCCCAGTCCAAAACTGGCAGCACCAACCGGAGAAGCTCATCTTCGAGTCCTGCGGGTACGAGGCCAACGTAAGTGGCTTTTGGCTTGTGGGGATGGCGAGGATGAGGAGGTGCTGGGGTCAGATCGTTCCTTCCCCCCTGTCCCTGGGTGAGCGGTCCCTCCCCAGCCATGGCTACAGGTCACTGGGGCCAGGTCATTGCCTTGGGCTTGGCCTTTAACATCTCTCCCTCTTCCAAACAGTACCTGGGCTCCATGTTGATCAAAGATCTCCGAGGGACAGAGTCCACGCAGGACGCCTGTGCCAAGATGAGGGTATGGGGGCAGTGGCTGGGGCGGTGGTGAGGGAGGGAGCGTTAATTCACAAGCGGTCACTCGAATGTTCTTGTTTCTGAAGAAATCCACGGAGCATATGAAGAAGATCCCCACCATCATACTGTCCATCACGTACAAGGGTGTGAAGTTCATCGATGCCTCTAACAAGGTGAGCTTCAAAGGCCTCAAAGTGGTGTCTGGAGGGACAGGACCTGCAGTGCCACCTGCCTGGGGCCGTCAGGTCATATCTGGTGCCTCCAGAAGCCGCCTCCTGAGGAGCTGCTGGGGCCTTGGGAGAGCACCAAGGTGGTGGTGGTTACCTGAATGCCAAAGGCTTGGCAGGCCGGCTGCTTGTGGGCCGTGTTCCCGTTTATTCCCACCACGGGAGGGAGCCCAGGACTGGTCTGACTGGGAGACCCCCTCCCTCCCAGTACCTGTTTTGCTTCCTGCCCCAGTACACACTTGCCACGACCACCATTTGCCAGGTGTATTTGCCATCCCCAGTTGGGTGACGGGTGCTTGTGTTGACCCCGGCAGAATGTCATCGCTGAGCACGAGATCAGGAACATCTCCTGCGCCGCTCAGGACCCCGAGGACCTCTGCACGTTCGCCTACATCACCAAGGACCTGCAGACCAGCCACCACTACTGCCACGTCTTCAGCACCGTGGATGTGGTGAGTGGGTGGTTGTAGCTCATCGCTCAGCTTTTTTGGCGAGTCATAGACCAGGATCTGGTCCCTTTCTAGGGCTCTTTTGCCTGTTTCTACCCTAAAAATGTGCCTTTTGGAGTCCTGGCTCAAAATGCTTTTACTTTGGAGCTCTGTTGACAAAGAAAATATTTGTCTGGCTCCATTACTGCGGTCCCCAGTGCTGAATAAAGCAGAGCAGGAGTTTTTCCCTCCTGGGGAATATGCCGTGAACAAAACCCTAATACGCTCTCAATTATGTTGAGCGTAATGGGCTGATTTAACAGCCTTTTAATTCGCTGCGAGTGTGGAAGCACAACTTGCTTTTATTCTTAGGCAGAATCGTCTGTGGGAGGCGTTTGGGCTTTTTCTCTTTACAACACCAAACGCTGCTGATCTGCGATGCTGACGGGGCTGCAGCAGCTCGTAGGTGGTCCTGGGGCTGTGTGAGCACAGAGACAGCTCTGTGCCTGTTCTCCCGTGGGGCAGGAGCTCAGTGGCTTTGCCAGGGACATGGCAGGATGTGAACAGGGCTCTGCTGAGGTCTGCGTCTCCAGAGCGAGGATGGAGCCTGTGGATTCACAGAATCACAGA